ACTGACAATATAATGAACAAAGTTTTCATAAAACTCCGGGATCTACAGAAGGAGCCTTTATCAAATCAAATATCAACTGAATACAGTAAAATTTAATAATCTGGCAAAAAAATAAATGTGCCAAGAATATAAGACGAAGTTAATAAATTTGCTTTTTAAAGGTAGATTTTTTGGATTTATTAACCTTTTTTTCCACTGGATTAGGATAAGTATATTTCAATTATCCATTATTATGTAATTCAAATTTTTCATCTATTGATGTCATAAGTAAATTTATTCTAAACAATATTTTTTTTTTGTTTTTTATGCTTATTATAATTGGGATTTTTCCTAGAAGAGATGAATAATGAGTAATCCAAAATGAAAAATAAGAGAAAAAAATATTCATGAATAAAAGGCAAATTAAAAAACTCTCTTTAATTAACAAATATGAGACATACATACATATGTATGAATCTACGTATAAATATATAAGTATATATTGTATATAATTGTTGTATAAACATGTAGTCAAATTGAAATCCGAAGCGTCTGTTGTGTTTTCACTTATAGTGTTATATTCACTTATGTAAATCAGTTGCTTCAAAATGATCGCATAAAAGCTTGAAGTACATACCTCGTATGTAATTCAAACTTAACCTAATTGAAAATGAAAATTCAAACCTAACCTGCAAATGTATTGCATTATTAGTATGTTTTTGTCCTTAATTTTGATCCGTTATACTTAAACATGATCGCTAATGAAGTACAATTTTTTACTATTTCCTTCGATAAAAACTAATTTACTTATTTATTAATAAGTATACAAAATAAAAAAAAAATAAAACACAGTGGCACAGTGGAGACAGAAAGAAATCGTTATTTAATTAGTTAATTTAATTATTTAGTTTAAGTATTTAGTTTATGTAATTTTTACCTAGATTAAAATAACGATTTTTCCTGTATACTGTCTAGTTTACAAGCAAATTATTTACGAAACGGGACATCGCGCAAAAATAATTATTAGGAGGTAATTTGAAGACTAACTCAAAGGCTTTCAAATTATGACAAAAAAATGGATAAGGTAAGGTTTTTTTAGAGAAAAATTTGTATTTGTAGATTTTTTTCCTCAATATCTTTTTAAGTCTAAAACAAATGCCTCAAACGACACACTGTTGATTTTTTAAATAAAGAACTACATTTTAGCTTTCAATTGCATATTATTTTTTTTAAATTGATTAATAATTATAGAAGTTATAAACATTTAAGTCAATACATTTTCTTGTTGAAACTAATAATTTTCAACTGGGATTTTGGGGTTAAATACTCATTTATAGCTCCCCAGGAGCAATTTTTTTCATTAAATTGTCTCAAATTTGCGTCCCCGAGAGATTAAACCATGCTACAGATTCACCCTGCATTTAGTAAATTTATTTTCACGCAGATCTTCATAAAAAAATGTAAGTGTTACTTTGTACAATACATATGTACATGCACATACCTAATAATTAGATTTTTTCATATATGATTAGGTATATAAATTTGTTATAGTTGGAAATAGGTTCATTACTCAAATTACATTTACTTATGCAATAGAACTCTCAAAAAAATGCAAAATGTTTTCTATACGAATAAAAATTATTAAAACGAATTCAGTATGGTAATTAACTACACATATATTTTTTACATACTCATTACTTTTACGGATCGTATTGCATATAATAAGAAGTTGAGGTATTGTCAAGATACAATATTTCACATGTATAGTTTTTAACGGCAATAATTTCTACCACATCGTAGTAGAAATTGAACTTTCACTTGGAAATAATTTTACAATTTCCCAATATCTGGGAAAGTAACTAAAGAAATTTGTTGAAATTTAATATTTCAATTGTGTTTGTCAACGAAACTCACCAAAACAGGGAAGCCGAAGAAAGTAAACCTCTCTTAAAAACTAAATTTAAAAATAAAGTCGCAACCAAAAAAGTCACTAACTTTCATAGAAGTGTCCAAAGAACATATTACAGTAATACCTGTTTAGCAGCTTCCCACTTAATTCCGTTTCTCGTTTAAGTGCGTCAACTTTTTTAGAGCGTTTACTTTCTCTACTATATTCAACGTCAAAAAAATTCATAAATTGCATTTCTTATAACTGCGTAAATCGTTAAAGTACATCAATGTTTTAGCATATTTGTTCTAAAATTAATTGCTTTACTGCCTCAAACACAAAACAAAAAAAAATTTTCATAGTTTTGTGCATACGTCTAATGTCAAATAGAAAATAAAAAAACATTATAATTACATATTTACTTCAATATTTTGAATAATTTGTTAAATATTATTGAAAACCTACGTAGTTAATTTTATTTGCTTAGTTAAACGGGTTTAGTTAAGAGCTCTAATCGATTAAATGCTTACAAAAATTGGATTTTTTTGACATTTGGGTGTTACGTAATAACATTGTGCAACACTGGGTAAACATTTAAACCAGAAGAGATTTTTATAAATACAATACTGTAAAGTAATAGGTGCAAAGAAATACTACAAAAACATAACTCAATACGAATGTAAAAATAATATTTGTTTGACAGGTTTATAAAAGCAAAACAGTTCATGTATACGTACTTATATAGGATTATGCTCATAACAATTTTATTATATTTTGATAATTTGCCAATAAGAACAAAATAGATTTGCAAAACTTCTTTCGGACACAAATATAGAACAGTTTTCACTATACATCGTTTTTATGAAAGGGCTAAAAATTTGTTTAAACTTATGTATATTTTTCAGAAAATATACAATGCAGTTGGTCATGTGCTGCTCACATCAGATTTTTTATGCATACAAAAATTCGTAGGTACTTACATATGTATAATTGATTCGCCATAACTATATTATTCATACAGCTATTTAAACAAGAAAAAGTTAAACACTAATACATACAAAATAATAAGAGAATAAAAGTAAATAAATTCAATATAAATGATTATGAAAACAAGATATTAATTTAAATAAATAAAATAATAATTTTTTTTCTTCGAAGTTTTAAAATACAGTTTTATTATACACAGTAATTCTTATCGCAAATACCACATTTCAGACGTACATATGTATGTATGCATAGCATTTTTCTATATTTCGCATACAAAAAAATTTATTAATATAATGAAAAACAAAAGATATTCATAAATTCTAGTTTGGGTAAAGTCTGAGAGAGGCTTTGCATATAAAGTGATTGAAAAATAAAACCACAGGATCTTCGTAACTCAAAATAAGTTTATCATTTATAAAGTGAAAAATTGGATACGAATTGTAGTATTGCTAAAACCTTACTTGTATTTTGAATAAAGAGTTAAATTTTAATTTTTTTTTATTGAATGCTTGCTAACACTGTTTTATTCGTTTAGTTTATGTATGTTAAAGTTTTAATTTATTACTTTAATGGTTAAAAAAAGTTAATTGTCAATTTTTATATATACACATACATACATACATAATTTAAATTGACTAAATCAAACACTGAATATTTTTGTTTTTGGCTTTTCAATCTTAGAGTTGACAATGACAACGTCTGTACTAAGAAATTGGAATTTTGACACAGTAAACAAAAACACATGCCTGATTGAAATTTGAGTTAGAGGTAAACATATTTTTCAATAAATTTCATGTATTTTGATATTTAAATCTAATTTAGAAAAAAAGGGCTCTTAAATCATTTTTAGTCTGGATATTTTAAATTTTGATTAAAATTTTTTTATTAAGGTTATTGAATTTTAGTGTTCACCTTTACATTTTCATAAATAATAACTAATTGTTTTTAAATGAGTTAATTGAAAATTTTGGTTTCCAAAATGCTTATGTTTTTTACAGATTGTGACTTTACTGTAATTTTTTTTTATACTTTTTACCCTGTGGCATATTTCGTTTTAACTACATGTACATATGTATATGTATGTATATTTCGTTTTGAGCACGTATTTATGACGTATGTACTTATTTAAAAATGATTAAAAAAAAAGCGTTAAATATATTGAGAACAACACAAATACAAGATGTAGAATGCTTATCAGTGTTATACATAGCTTGATAATATTGTTGATAACATTATAATATTGTTAAGATTATTAAAAAAAGACAATAATAATTAAAGAACTATTGTATCATGCATGTTTGTACAATATGTTGAAAAATTACGAGTTTCTCTGTCATAATGAAAAAGAAATATTTTACAGAAAAGTTAAAATTTTCGAAAATCCAAAATGTCATTTACTGAATTCTGGTTAAAATGGTTGAAAAATTGTGTGAGCGGAAGAAATATCTTTAAAAAAATACTAAGTACTTACATTTTATTATTTTTAATATGCAAGTATTTGTTCTGAAATTTCCGTTTACTTTGTACATAAATGTTTTGACTAAAAAAAATTTTCTGACCGACTTTATTTTTTTTTACTCATTTCAAACTTAAAATTTTCAAGGACATTTTCAAGCAATTGGAAAATGTCCAAACTACAAAATTAAAAATAAAATTATTAAAGTATTTATAAAAATACATATATAAGTAGTTTTGAATATACATATGTAAATATACATGTGTGACGTGGTCACTTTACCATTTAATTAACTCATTAGTTTTTAAAATAAAGTAATTATGCAGTTTGTTATTTTACTGATCATATAAACAATTACTAATCAAATTTTAATTTAAATTTTGATTAATGTTATATAAATCAAGCTGTCAAAATATTAATTGGTTGATATTGAGCCTCAGTCTTCAAAGAAGTCTCTTAAATTTTCATTGAGTAAAGTATATACAGTTCGCTCGCTACTGTAAATTTTTCCACAATATTATGAAATATTCCTTATGGATTAATTATAAGTATTTCTGTACGTACCTACATTTAATTAGAAATATACAGCAAAAAATTTCTTTAACTATACTTATAATCAATTTTGAAATTTTTATATTACACAAAAATTAAATGGATAAAAATGAAATAAAAAATAATAAAATTGCTTACCCCAACTTGACGCAGTACGTCCTAGGCAAGTACCATCTTTTGGATTATAAAGAAAATGTTTGAATGGTACTTTCTCTTTTGGCTGTGGAAATTGAAATTCATATGTTGTTGTTGTATTGCCAACAGGTTGACCATTTCTTGCTTTTGATTTATGATCCGTCATTTTTCTTTATACTAATAATATGTAATATACCGTTCAAAAATGAAGTGGATATTCTAACATTGAAGTAATAAAAAAAATAATGTACTTTATATTTACATATATGTATACGATTATTTTAATTTGTAAAATAATTGTACTCATATACATACATATTATTAAAAAAAAAGTTAAATAATTTTTAATTCGAAAATAAATTTAATAAATTCTGTTAAAATTATTTTTAATACTTTTTCTCATTTCTTCAAAATTCAAAAAAAGAAGTTAAGTAAAAAATTGACTGCAATTTATTTACAACTCAGTTATTTTATTTTTTTTATGATGGTGTGTTCACGAGGGTATTCTGGTTTAAATCATTAAATTATATTTTTAGTTCCCAATCAAAAAATAGATAAAAGAAGAGAAAATAAAAATTCGAATAATAATTTTCAATATGTTTCTTTTTTCTTTAATTTGAAAATTTTATTCTAAAAATATCTTTATTTTGAAGCTTTCAATTTTTTGAATTTTTAATTTTCATTTGCTGGAGAGAGAAAAAGTTAAATTTTTAAAATCATATGTAGGTACTTTTATTCCCATATGGATTTGTTTGAATTTAAAAAAAAAAAATAAATAAAAAATTTTTCACTTTATGCCAATTTATTTTGGGTTAAAAAATAAAAATTTGAAATTTGAAAAATAATAGAAAAATGCAAATCACAAATTATTATATTTTTAGTATAATTCCCTTAAAATGACGTATAAATAGTTAAAAAATTCTAACAATTTCAAATTCTTTTTTAAAATATTTTAGTTTTAAAAATTTTACAAATAAAAAATATTTTTTCTATTACATACATACATATATTATATAATTTTAAAAATTTTCTTTTTGTGTAAGTAAAGTTAATTTATTTTTAAAATTATTTTACAATCTAAATTTTTAATTACTTATTAAATTTTTTTTTATAATTTTAGGACGTTTTAATAACAATAACAAAACAAAAAAACGCGATATGCTGTTTCGAAAAAAAGAAAACTTCTAAAAAAGTTCTCCAAAAATATTCCTCCGTTTATTTTAATTGAAAATTTTCCCTCCGCTTAATACCACGAATACCAACACGATCGACAGGCTGACTGACTGCGAATGTGTAACTGAACTAAAAAAAATAAGATTGTGTTATTTTTTTTCATTTGTTCCTTTACTTTTCTTGTTTGTTATATTTTTTTTTTTACTGAATAATAAGTAAGCAAAATCGACTACTTATTCGACGACGGTGTTGTTCTTTGCCATGTTGTGTTGATGTATTGTTTAAACGATACACTTGTATGCACGTATGTATATATTACTTTTTGTATTCAAATATATTTCAAAATATTCAACAGCACGTAGTGGATTTGTAGTTTTAGAGAAAAAGTATAATGATAAAGAATGTTTTTTTTTTCAACTTTTTAACTTTTTTAGATTTTGTCGCTTTAAAATTTGCTAATACTCGTATTTTATGTAAATTGCAGATATAAAAATGTTTTGTTACTTTCAATTACTACAAAGAATTGCGTTGCTATACTGTAGTATTTGAAAATCTGTAGACTGCAGTGTTGTTGAAAGTAAAAATATACTTGTTGTAGTTTGTGGCTTTAATAAGTTCAGTTGCTTATTCCCAACACATATAATATCATATATTATTTTATATAACAAGTATGAAGTTGCGATATTACAAATATTATGACTGATATGCATAAAATTAGATCTGTCACTAAATTTTGAATATCACATCGAATTAAATTTAATTATTTTTTAGATAATAAACGCCTCTTGGGACAATAACATTACTTGAAGCAATTTCAATTTCGGAAAGGGATCCACTTCAATTTTTATTGAAAGATAGAAACAATACTGCAATTACTATGTACATACATATGTATATATTATTATGTTTTTTTTAAGTCTAACAATTTCAAACGTGATATATGTACATAGTTATATATCTACATATGTTTATGTACACATGCATGCATGTTTTTGCTCCTTTGTACTGGCATTCGATTCTTAGGATATGTTGGTTTTGATTTTTTGATGAATACTGCAAAGTATAAAAAATTCAATTTTTGAAATAACGTTTTTTATATTGGAAAAGTGTCTTTAAAACAAGTAAAAAGTTTCAGTCGGTCTAAACAGACTCTATTCTTCACGGTACTGCGGTTTAGTGGTTTGGCTTGGCAAAAAGTACTACAGTTATGAAAACAATCTTACATTTATATTTGCTATTTTTGTATCAAGTGTAGCCGAAAAAGTGAACGATAATACATTAATAAGAGTTAACAGTTTAACAAAATAGATTTTAGAAAAAAACACGCATTCTTCGCAGTATCAAATTTGTAAAGCGTAAGTAGAGAAACAAAATCTAGTTATTTTTAAAAGTTCTCTTTTTTGATGACTAAATTTTCTTTAAATAAAATTTTTATTTAACTAATACTTAACTGAAATTTTTGCTTATATCCACAGTGTTTAGGTACTTAATTATCTCTTCATCGAGACGAAAACCTTTACCAACTGAGAACCTGTATCTTCAATTTTTTTCCAACAAATGAAATGATATCTATGGAAGAAACTTTATGTTTGGAAAGAGATTAATGTTTTTAGATTTAATAAAGCCTATAATAATATTTTGGTTAAAACAGAGCACAAATTTCTAAGAAACCATTGCTTTTTAAAATAGCTATATTGTATAAATATTTTAATATAATGTGTCGCAACACAATCTATACAAAAATATAGTTGGATGAGGAATAGAAATGTTATGGAATTTTTACAATAATGAGTATGATGTCATTTTAGCAATGGAAAGGCTTGGTTTTACTCTGTATTGTTCGGTTATTTACTTTTTGCAGGTATGTATGTACTTGTATTGCATAAAATTCAAATTTATATGTACAAAAATTTTGAACTGTTCAACTTTGTATAAGATGTACATCGCAGCTACTCATTTTATAAATCACAGGATCACAGTAAAATATCAAAACTTAATTGTATATTTTCCTTTCAAATATAAAGGGGCGAAATTTTTACAATATCAACATACATTCATAATAGCTTGTTATGTATGTATGTACATTTAAAATATGTAACATATACGAGTCTGTTCAGAAGTTTTTAGTTTTAAAGTAGGCAGTTTTGTTTTCTTTTAATAGGCTTAATTCACTACTACTCTTTGTAGATTTCAAATGCCTCACAACATTCGGAAATAAAAATGTCATATCGTATATAAATTCTATAATTCTACGTCGTATTTTTAAAACTTCAAACTGTACAATTAATATAATTTCTTAAATTGACGAAGAAAATTTCATTTAAAAAACGAATAATTGAATTTGTAAAAATCGTTTATTGATTTTATTTTCTGAGTTAGTATGAAAGAAAAAATTTCATGCAAATAGCCAAATTAAAATTAAATGCAATATAACTTCCTAACTGGTGGTATTGAGTTGCTAAGTTAGTGTAAGACCACTCGTAGTTAGCAGCAAAAGGGTTAAATAATAATGTGAACGTCTGTATTATGCAAATGAATTCTTTGAACTCTAGAATACGATTTTGTCTAATTTACGCGTAACATTTGTTCTTCGTTTTTTCGAATTACTTTTTGAAAGTAGTACGGTATGGTTATTTATGCACGTATGTATGTATATGAAAAATAATTATGAGGGAATTGATGAAATAAAAAAAAAGGAAAATAAAAATAAAAATCACGAATAAACTTTTTTTTGCTGACCTTGTCATCTTTTTCCATACTTTACTATTAAAGGTACAGTTCTTTTATTGTTCAACATTTGAAAAACAATCCTAAAGGCTTGGCATAACAATAATGCATGCTATGAAATTATCAGTAATAAATAAATTCATAGAAATAGAAGTAACTTAAAAATAATAGGGTATAATAGGGTAATAATTTTTTAATGTAAACATTTAAAAAATTCAATTTCTTATTCCCGTATGTTTTCCGATCGTCAGGGTCGACCAACAGACGAATCTTAAGTAGGTTAATTCGCTCTTAAATGTTGTTCAAGCCCCATTATTTGATTACCTATCTAATCGTAAAATTTAGGAGTCACATTATGATATTTTAATACCATAATTGTATGATGTCCACTTTAAAATTTGAATTTTTGGCACCTTATACAGATTTCCGAAACTGCAAGCTTTCCTAAATTTTTGTAATTTCTGCTAACGGTAAATGCCATGCCATTAAAAAATATAGCTGTTTTTCCCAACTCACGCAATTAACCTTTAAATTCGAACATTATGTGAAAGTCTCTTTAAATCTTTTTTTGTTTTATTTCAAAGATTGCATGGATTGCTCATCCTAAATGTATGCAATTTTTGAAATATGTTCATATATGAAAGAAAATAATTTGAATAATGTAGTGGTTATGGAGATTGTTTTTAAAAGTACTTTCACTTCTTGAAGGGAAAATGCTACATTAAAAACCATTGGTTTGGCAGAACTATATTTTTTTCATCTTTGAAAATCAAACATTTAGAAACCATTACGAAGATTAATTTCCTGTGTCTATTTAGAAAATTATAATATAGAACGCAATACATACTTCTTTTAAAATGAAATTCTTGAAACAAAATAAGAATGTTTTTTTATGTTAATTTGAATGTAATGTGATGGTAAAAATTGAAATAGTTAGAGTATCTGTTGAACGTTTTCCTATATAATATTCCAGTTTGGTTTAACAGCATAATATGTTTTAGGTAAGACCCCTTTCCTTTTCGAGAAGAATTTTACAATAGTTATTTTATTCAATACAGACCTGATGGCGTCGCGACAATTTGTCTCCTTATCATTGTTTCCCTCATTAGCATCTCATTTCATCTTTCATATAAGTATTATCTTTTTCCATACTACTTTCCTTTTTAAGCTTTCTTTATTCAGCATAATTCTAATAGCTTAGATTTGTGGATTTCTTCTGTTAATTTTTTATATTGTATATAAGGATAAAAAAAAAGATTAAAACTGAAATAAATAAGAAATAAGAATGGATAACAAGTTTCATATATGGGCTGAAATTGTAATTGTTTGAGTTTAATTATCATTTGTAGAAAAAAAAGTAGTTTTCTTAAAAATTTAAATATGAAGTATGCGCATGTATTATGTATTTCTGATTTGTTGTAGGAATCTGTTTTTACATTAAACTTTTTACGTATTTCAATAATAAATACATCGAATGAATGTAAATTCCTATTCTAGATAATATTTCGAAATTTCATTGATCCTAGTAAATTACGTTTAAAGGTAGCTAGTGTTTTATATGAAATAGTGTGAAAATCAGCGTATAAGTTGTAATTTTGTATAAAAAAACATTATGTTATGAACATATGTCTGTATAATCTATCATTACATTTCAAATTTGATTAGTTTTTTGTATTTTTGGTAACGAAAAGGTTCAACGTTATGATGCAGCTCTAAAAATTTTGTACTTTTATTGGTCACATCGCGTATTATATATGTAAGTAATATCATAGTAAGGGGAAATTTCACACTTGAAATAGTTTTTGGAAAAAAGTTAAATAAACTTTTCGAGATAAGGTTCCAGCATCTGAATCTTTATATTAGAGTGAATTTCAATTCAGATGATTTAAATAATATTAATAGGAGTATAAAACATTGAATTACAAATGTTTGTCAGGACATAAAAAATATGATCTTCTATTAGGGACAGGTCTCTTAAAATTTAATATTTGATTTCCGTGTAGTATTTTATTAGAAAATCTTGAGTTTTCGACACGTATAGAATAAAAACATATTTTTAGATTTCAAATTTTGAAATAAGTTTTTCAAGAGATACTTTCACCTTTGTTCAAAATTACGTATAGTTTTTGCTATTGAATTAAAATCAGATTACAATAAAAGTTAAGCGAAATTATAATCACAATATGTCTAAATAAGTACATACTTTTAGGATTTGTATTTTTCGTTTCGCATAATTCGCATGTTATGTCAAAATATACTTTTTTATGTAAATTTACAAATAAGTAAACTAGTGTCTAGTAGCTGTCTAGTGTCTTCAATTTCTGTTTTGAAGACAATGTTGTAATTTTTTCAAAACAAGCGTTCTTACTTTCTATGAGTTTATCATTGACATTTCAAAAAATAAATTT